GCTGTTTACCGCGAAGGATCCAGCAGACATTATGCGGACACTGGAGCAGTGTTTCGGCCGCCCGGAAGTGATTATTGATCGTGCGTTAGATGACTTGAAACGCCTTCCGCGCCCGGGTCAAACCGCCCAGGAGGTAAATTCGTTCGCTATTAAGTTGCAAAATATAGTAAGTATTATGCAGAACGTCGAAGGCAAAGGATATTTACAAAATCCGATGCTAACTAAGTTACGAGTAAGCTTAGCCCTCACTTACGGTCACGTTGGTGCGATTATGCGGAGCACTACGGAAGTGCGGACGAACCGGACATTGTCACACTATCCCGGTTTATGATGAGAGAGGCTGACCGTGCATTAAGTCACGCCTATACGTCTGTAACGCCGACTAAGGAATCGCCCGTAAGACGAGAAGCACCGCCATCGAAAAGGATAGTGTTGACACGCTGCGTAGAGGATAGGGCCCGCGACGTAAAGACGTTCACCGCCCAGGAGGACACCAGTAGTGCCTCGTGTATGTGTTGTGGGGGTGAACACCCAATCGCCAAATGTAGGAAGCTGGCACAAATGGGTTTGGACGACCGGTGGAAGTGGGTAAGGGAAGATGGGGTGTGCTTTAGGGGTTTAAGCAGCAAACACCAACGCCTACGTTGTAAGGCTAGGAAGTGCGGCGTCAACGGCTGCAACGCCCCCCACGACGCCCTCCTTCACGCCCGCAAGGCCCCCACGCCTGAAGCGTCGGTAAAACCGGATGAAACCGTGCTCGTCGCGTCGAATGTTAATAGTAGTACGTCTGTGTTGGAGGAAGTTGATACGATGCGCTACTTGGCGAAGGCCATACCATACCATACCATATCGTTAATCGACGACGACCTAGCTCGCGAGTTAGGAGCGGAAGGACCGGTAAAGCCGCTCAATATTAGAGGCGTAAATAATAGTCAACGCGAGGCCAATAGTAGGTTAGTAAATATAGGGATACGTGCAAAGATGTGCAGTGAGATTTATAATGTAAGCGCGCGAACAATAGCGGATTTAAAGATAGGCTCGCAGTCTGTGAGTAGGGAGTGCTTACGGTTGAAGCACTTACGCGGCTTACCGAGTGCAGTATGTTACGACGACTCGAAGCCGAGAATATTATTAGGCGCCGACAACTGGAATTTAATAATAGGACGCCGGAAGCAGCCCATATCGGCAAGGACGCTATTATGGTGGGCAATTCAAGGAACCGTGCCGCGGTTAACGTGTAGAGAAGACGGCGAGACCCTATTACACGTAGCAAGCACTAGCAGACGGCCAGATGAGTACATCCAGGCGCTCGCCAGTCCGGTTAGGAAGGTTTCACGACTGCCTAGACGCTACGCTTCCACGGGGAGAGTAATAGGGAACCAACGGCGCGACGATAAGGCGTATACGCATCGCGACGGTATGGACAGGCCTACGTTCATAACGGCTAAGGCGAAAGTCGCTCCGATTAAGGCGCAGAGTATACCGCGACTAGAGTTGCAAGCGAATTTGATAGGCGCGTGACTCGCGGAATTCGTGCAAGACGAACGCAGGTAGCAGATAGGGTCGTATATTGGACGGACTCTACTACGGCGCTCCACTGTATACAGAACGATACAGCGCGTTACACTCCATACGTGGCTCATCGGTTAGGCGAGATCTGAAAAGACATCACCCGAGCAATGGAGGTGGATACCGAAGTAGATGTGAATTGGGGCTTCTGCGTCACTTGCTCTCGCTTCGCTCGAGCTACATGCCGCTGAAGGCCCCAATTCTCTCCATTAGAGTTCTAAATTTTTAGTCTAATTCTCGATCCGCTTTTTTTTATCTTTGCTCCATTTCTAATACCGTTTCATTCGGAATCTCAAATACAAATGGTTCAATAATATAACAACAATATATGAAGGCTAATTTATTTCATCGTTAAAAATGCAAGGTGGTACAAAAAAACAGTTACTTTAATAATAAGTACTAATCGTTAACGGTCTGAAAATATTTTTTTTTTCTTCTTCTCGAACACAAAGGTTAAATTAAAAGATGATGTGTTTATTTACATATATTTTATTAGAAATCAAACAATCATTTTGTTTTCAATACAACATTTCTTAATACATAAAACATTTTTAACGCATATATTTTCTTACGGGTAAAACAGTTATACAGTAAAGTATCTTTACAATAAAGTTCACAAAGAGTATTTAAATTGGGAGCAACTTATATCTATGATAGTATTATTTTCATCACAAATATCTTGCACCATTTTAATTTTTTCACATCCTTTTAAAAAAATCTTTTTATCTTTCAAATATGTCTTTATAATTCTGTGAAACTCTCTATAATCAATAAAGCCCTCACTCCATCGATACCCTCTGTGCTTTTCAATCCAGCCAATTTGTTTTTTCTCTTCACGAGATAGTGAAGTGGATGGGTAAGGAGGTTTAATTAGGAATATATTGGTACTCTAGAGTGGCTATAGCAAACTCCTTTACTAAAAACTTATTATTGCTATTTTTGAAGCCTTGAAGATCGACGATTATTGTATTGCTATTCATGATATTTTCTTAACAAAGAAAAACTAAAACTAGAAGCTTAATTATCATATAGTCCTACTCCCCGCGGTATCGTGCCAAGAACGCTGGCTGCGTTTCCCCGCTGAATGGCTATACTTAGCCTTTGAGCGAGGAAAGAACCAGCCCTCTTATCACCAGCAGCAACGACCAGCCGCGGATGGAGTTCCTTTAGGAACTTCACCGCACGTGGACCCCACGGACCGATAGTCTCTACAGCAAATGGCACAAATATGTAGTCATCTCTCAGAGACTCATATTTGCGCCACTTACTCAGTTCAGCTGCCTCTGATGCCGCCCCGGCTTTAAACGAGGTACCCCTGAGATGAGAGGCCGCCAGAGTGTCTACGCAAGTAGCATCCCACACTAGGGCTTTACCTCTCTCCCAAGGGACCAATGTCATACCGTCGGGTCTCTTGCCATCGTCTCTAAATATTCCACAAGGCTCTAAAACCGAGGGAACATTTATAGAGGCAAGAGCCCTTCGGATGACATCGTTCAAAGAACTGTGTCGTGAAAACCTACCAGCGCTTTTCTTACATGAAAGTCCGTGGAGCCCAAACTTGTCGACGCTGTTACCACAGGGGCATTGATGGGGTTGACAAATCGCTGCTCCTAGTCGGATTCCTACGGCAATACGCAAGCTTTCCCTATCAAGTAATGTGCCGAGATTACTTGATGGTAAAGCGTGTAACCAGTGACTAGATTCCTTAGTCGAAACAGCTAGAAGGCGTGCCTTATCTTGGTCACTATGGAAATTATGAAACAAATCCTTCTGCACGCCCTGTACCAACGGAATATCCCACTGTTTTTGTTGGTTAACTTCCAGTGGAATATTTTCACCAGGACAGAGCGTTTGCCATGTCTGCCCTGCCTCCGTAGCAAAGCATAGGTCTACTTTATTATTTAAAATTATGTTACATAAGTCACTGACACTATGCACAGAAGCAAGGAAAGCAGGCAATGCAACGCTAGAAAGATTTCTCACACCAATGCCACCAAATTTTATAGGTAAAGTAGCTTGAGTCCAGGCTGTTGTATTTAAAGTTAAATTTAGAATTTTTTCTATAGCAATTTTAAGATTATTATCAATATCTTGTAAAATATCCGAACATTTCCAGACTGGACTCGAGCGGAGTAAGTATGTAAATCTAGGTACAAGAAGACAATATTTTAAAATAGTAAGAGCTATGTGGGGGTTTAATTTATACAATTTATCAACGTGGTTTAAAAACTGATCAAATTTTGTTTTTAAAACAGGTTTAATACTATCGAAAAACAACGGGGCACCTAGCAGGTAAAGTGATTCCGTATTGACAGTTTTTATTCCTGGACAAATATGATTAAAATTTTGAATTAAAGTGTCTCTATGAGAAGTAGATAAATTATTGGAAAAAAATATTTCACATTTATTGCTATTTGGTTCAAGGCCAATATTTTTAAAATTTCGAAAAATATGAGTAAGATCGCTGAGGACGTCATCTGCTCTACCTCCCAGTGTACCGTCGTCTAGGTACCAGACATTCAGCTTGGATTTCAAATTTGAAATAATGGGTTGAATTCCCAAACTGAAAAGTGCTGGACCCAGAGGGTCACCCTGCTGAACACCAACAGCAGAATCGATAACATGGTTTTCGTAAAACAAGTTAGTATTTTGACTATAACATTGCCAAACGTAATGATAAATTTCGGGGGTATTGTTAGCCACTTCTTTCAGCAAGGTTACCCTATCGATAGAGTTAAAAGCATTCCTTAGGTCAACCTTCACAAGAACATCTGCATCAGAGTTTGTTAAAAATGTACGCACTGAATGTACCGCCGCCTCACAGCCACCTCTAGTGCCAAAGCCTAGTTGAGTAGGCTGAAATTTGGTCTTAAGGTTAGAGATTATGTACCTGCAAGCTAATTTTGAAGTTAAGCGTCGAAATGTGGAACCAACGGCAATAGGACGGATACCGTTATCCTTTTTTTTGAAGGCACATAATCTTGCCCCATATAAGAATGGAATGAAATTTGGATTAACATTACCAGAAAGCATAAAGTTACATAATTTTGTAATGTCTTTAAGAAGTACTCCGCCGGCGTCACCGGCAGAAGCGCTTACAAGATCTTTAAGATGTTGAGGCGTAATTCCGTCAATGCCGCCAGCAGAGCCATTCGAAAATGACATAATTGCTTCTAAAGTGTCTTTTTCCGAAATTTGTAAAGGTTGCATAGATGTCTTGGGAGGCAGCGGTAAACCCTGAGACGGTTTGACCGAAGGATGCTTTTGACGAAGGCTTTCAAGAGTTTCGACATTACGAGGAGCCAGGATGTCGTCTGAGAATAAAATACGGGATGCATTTTTTAAGTCGCCATCCATTACTTTCGACTCAACTACTTTTTTTAAATCAAATTTAGGACGTGGTCGAGATAAATGAGTATTAATTGAGTAATCTAAATTTTGAAAACTATTTTCTTAACGATATTACTCAGTGGTTTGTATTCGAATATACAGTCGTTTAATATCAAGCAATAAGCGGTTGTCTGATCTGGTATTTCTTGGTCTGTTTCGATTTCAACTCTCACATCGATCGAACCTTTTAAAGTTTCGTGTTGTCTTGAACAATCAATTACAAATAATGGAGCCACGTCTCTGAACTCCTTTAAACCCATCAAAGGCTCTAACCGGCGTCCATGATACGACTGTTGAAATCTCGCATACTGATCGTATAATAAAGTAAACTTATCTTCTGAAAAACTGACATTCAGCCCCTCATAAGGATAATATGATGAATTTAAAAAGACTCTTACATCTCGTACGTGACAATGATCAAACTCTGCCATTGATAATTTCGCGTTATGTTTGCGGTTGGTTTGCAAGGCGATGACCACAAATCGTGGTTTCTCTATTTGCGATGAAGTTTTTATAGACCAAGTATGTTTACGTGTTTTGGGTAGCAATGGATATTCATATACGTCCCAGGAACGGAATGCCAATGGAATAGCTCTATCTTTCTCTAAAAGTTTTAATAGGCTGATACTTTCACGATCTGATACTTTGATGTGTGGAACTCGCCAAACTATTTTATTTATTATAATATCTTCTACAACTTCACCTGTATTTACCTTGATCGCATTAAGATTTGTATTGCTTCGTAATAATACTAACTCATGTTTACAATTAATTATAATTTTTTCATAATCTTCTGCAAATCCTAATATCTTGTTCAATGGTATAGATGCGGAAAACGCTCCACCACTAGTATTGCTTGTTCCGCCAGTTGACCAGCCCCAAACTCAAGCACATTTGGATTCATTTTCATTTAAGGATAGATAAGATTTTATTGTAGTAGTGACACCAGCATTTTTAATTTTATCTATTTCTACTCCATTAAGTTCATATCGTATGTCTTGAAAAAGAAATAGCACGGGATTATTGACAAAATGTACATTTGATACCTTTTCTTTTGAAATAAGTGAGCGCGAACAAAGAAGCAAAAATATCGTTATCATTGGAATAGAATTAGAATAGATAAAGAACATAGAATAGAGTTTGACAAAGGTGAGGTTATTAAAATATTAAAAACAATAGATGCAACTTGTCCTTTACCGAAAAAAGTCCTACGACTTGGTAAGTATACATCTGGTAAACATCGCCCAATCAAAATTTTCTTTGAATCTCAAGATGTCGTTAAATTCTTATTGAAGAATAAGACAAAGCTGAATGATGATACAATAAGGCTATATTCAGACCAAACACCGCAACAAAAATTATACCTAAAGGAGCTTACTCAAGAGTTAAATGATAGAATAAAAAAGGAAGAAGAAAATATTTCAATTAAATATTCGAAAAATGTGCCAAGAATAGTTAAAAGCGTCTCAAAAAACTCAAAACAATAAGAAATTGTAGTAATAATACAGAAGATAACAAAGTAAACACTTACCAACTAGTTGACGACTACGAGCACATTGTCTCATATAAGAAATCATTAAAAATATACTATGCTAACATACGCAGCATAGTCACACCAGGAAAGTTTGATGAGTTACTTTGCCTACTAAAAATGTTTAAAAATACTGTCAACATCATTATTTTAACTGAAACTTGGATAAAATCCGAAGCAGAAGCAAAACGTTTTGTCATCCCTAACTACAGCCACTATTATAATTTCAGAAACACAGGAAGAGGTGGTGGTGTATCAATTTTTGTTCACAATGATTTGAAGCACTGCCACGTCAGCGACACCAATTTGGATGGTTTTTTTGGATTCATCTCGAAAAATATTGTCTAGATGTTGGAACCGTATACAGAAAACCAGATGCGAATATAAAACAATTTTTGGATGAATATTCTGCACAAATAAATAAACATAAAAGAGCAATTATTATTGGTGATTTTAATTTTAATCTACTGTCCAAAGATCGTGGAACCCTTGCTTACAAAGAAATTTTGGAAGAAAATGGTTACAGAATTATAAATAAGATAGACCGAAATTTTTGTAAGGGAAACTGAAACAACTAAATCTATTATTGACCATCTATGTACTAATCTTAATGATAAATATTTTCACTTTGCTATTTTAGAGTCACCCATTTCAGATCACAAACAAATATATATTGAGGTTAAAAAGTATGTGCCGGTTCCTCTAAGTAAATTACAATATGAAGCTGTAAACTACGCGAAACTTTATGCAACTATGCAGAATGACAAAGAAACAAATGAATCTAAATCATATGATAAATTAGAAGAAAGGCTGTTAGACAGTATAAGAAAGAGTATCATTAATAAACAAAAGATTTTAAACCCCCCACGACAAGATTGGATAAATAAGGAAACAATCAATGAAATAAATAACTGAAATATTCTGTGGAAACAATATAAACAGAACCCCAAAAATCTTGTTATAAAAAATAAATTTATAGAGAAAAGAAATGAAGTCACAGAAAATAAAAGGAAAATAAAGCAAACTACTATTTTAAAGCATTTATAAATTGCAAAAATAAACCAGTAAAAATTTGGAGTTTGATTAACAATCTATCAAATAATAAATTGAAAGAAGCAACATGCCCAAGTAAGTTGAAGAATCAAAATGGACTTATTCTAACTAAAACAGATGAAATCTGTGAATGTTTTAATGAGTTTTTCGCCAGTGTTGGCTCGAATTTAGCAAATCAAATAAAAAAACCTTACATAAGCTACAGTAATAAAAATGAGAGTGATTCTGGATTTGACTCGCAAAAACTTAGCCATCTAGCACCAGCAACGGTAGATGAAATTTCTGCAATAATTGAAAACCTAAACACTAACACTAGCTCAGGCTTAGAAGGTATTAGTTCTAAAGCAATTAAATGCGTCAAAAGTTTAATAATAGAAGAATTAACAGGCTGCATTAATGAATGTCTAAAGATAGGAGAGTTCCCTGATAATCTAAAGATTGCCAAAATCACCCCAATCTACAAATCTGGGTCAAAATTAGATCCCGGAAATTACCGTCCTATCTCACTTCTACCGGTACTCTCAAAAGTCTTCGAAAGAATTATTTACAATCGACTTGAAATGTTCTTAACGTCAATAAATTTCCTTAGTAAGAAACAATATGGTTTTAGATCCAAATCAAATACACTATCCGCCACAGTAGACCTTGTAACGAAAATAAAGCTGAATCTAGATAGAAAAAAAATCGCGCTTGGTGTATTTATAGATCTTAAAAAAGCTTTTGACACAGTGAGTCATGAGTTGTTAATACATAAACTTGCTAACATTGGTTTATCTAACACTGCACTAGCAATTTTCAAATCGTATTTAAGTAATCGCCGACAAGTAGTAAAAATAGGTAAAACACGAAGTTCTTGCAAAACTGTAACGTTTGGGGTACCTCAGGGTTCTATCTTAGGACCCCTACTGTTTCTAATATATATAAACAATATCAATAAGATAGGCTTAAGTGGGGATGTAACCTTGTACGCTGATGACACGTGTCTTTTCTATTATGGTCACTCAATTGAATCTATTGTATCGGAAGCACAAAATGATTTGGAATCACTAAATGAATGGTTACAGAGCAATCTGCTAACGATCAACATAACTAAAACTAGCTATATGATTTTTGCAGCTAAAAACAAAAAGATTGGTGACTATAGTCCTTTGATGATTGACGGCATAAAAATTAATAAGACGGAGCAAGAAAAGTATCTAGGTCTTATTCTAGATAGTAAGTTAACTTGGTACCCCCACAGTCTAAAAATAAAACCTAAGTTGATATCTCTAACGGGTATGATAAAGGGTATTGCTCGCTGTCTTCCAGTCCCTGTACGGTATACAATTTATAATTCCATTGTGAAACCACAAATCGATTATCTAGTAGAAATATGGGGTAATGCAGTCAAAACTAATCTAGCAATACTACAAACTGCTCAAAATAAATTATTAAAAGTTTTGTTTCATTTTGATTATTTTACACCGACAGATAAGCTTTACAGACAAATTAAAGTAATGAACATATCGCAAACATACAAGTACCAAAATTGTATATTAGTACGAAAAATTTTAAATAAAGATATACACACAAACACAACTTTTTCAAAGAGAATACAACTACACAAAATGAAACTTAGGCGAAGCAACGTTATTGAATTAATAACACCACGAACAAATTTCGGAAAAAAATGCATACTGTTTGAAGGTTCACAAATATATAACAAATTACCTAAAGATATTAGAGACTCAAAATCAATGCACACATTTAAAAGACTACTTAAGTATCATCTATCGAAAGACTAAACAAAGACCTATCTAAATAAATAAATACTCTCATGTTCAATAACTAACATAAATAAATAAATATTTAGATTCTTATTTTTTTTTATTCTTTTTTATTCTTTATTCTTACACTCTAAAAATACCAATTATTTAAGTTATTCAGAAATAATAAATAATATAAATATTACAAATTTTACTAAATATATAAATTATTATAACCGACACTTAATCAGACTTCTTTTTTTCTCTCTAAACTATAGAATCTAATTAACTGTATCACTCTACTGTGCGAGTCACATCCAGTAATGCTTATGTATGTAATCGGCACAAAGAAGTCGGCGGTCGAATTTGCACAAAGTGAGCCATCGCTGTCGCTAGAAACTTTTTACAACCACCTACATTTTGTATTTTTCGGTAGTTTAAATTATAATTTGCATTGTTACATTGTACGAATAGCCCAAACCAAATTTATATTAAGCTATAGATATATAAGTCTCAAAAAGTGAATGTAAAATTCTTTGAGATAATAAAGTTCTTCTTAAGCCGTAACTTCACCTGTATTTACCTTGATCGCATTAAGATTTGTATTGCTTCGTAATAATACTAACTCATGTTTACAATTAATTATAATTTTTTCATAATCTTCTGCAAATCCTAATATCTTGTTCAATGGTATAGATGCGGAAAACGCTCCACCACTAGTATTGCTCGTTCCGCCAGTTGACCAGCCCCAAACTCAAGCACATTTGGATTCATTTTCATTTAAGGATAGATAAGATTTTATTGTAGTAGTGACACCAGCATTTTTAATTTTATCTATTTCTACTCCATTAAGTTCATATCGTATGTCTTGAAAAAGAAATAGCACGGGATTATTGACAAAATGTACATTTGATACCTTTTCTTTTGTGGTGCTGTTATAAACGTTCACCTTTCCCTCGACATATAAACTACTGAGTGAAGGTAGTACGTACAGATCTTGTTGATTAATAGGAATACGTATTTCGTCATTCTTGTTAAAACTAGTTACATACAGTTTGTATGAATGATACTCAAAACTTTCAATGCTGTTATCGTATGATGTTTGTTGAGATACGTTTAAAATATTCATTTTATCAAGCCAACTAGCTTAAGAAATTCTTTGTTAGACTTGGTAAGCTTCTTTTTTAGGTATTTCAATTATTCGATAACCAGTTGGTACATTAGGTGCAAATTCAAAAATTATATGGCTTGCTTTCCCGTTGACAAATGAACCACTAACTACATCGCATTCAATCCGCACGATGGTTGTCGATAGAATACTGACAGGATACTTTGATTCAGTACTTATATTTGCTTTTATTGTTTCCATACCAAAGCCTAAAATTTTACCAGTGATTCGCTTCTATTAAAATGCACATCTTCAGAGCAAAAACTATTTGTTTTCAATGTATTATTGTTCCAAGTTAGTTTTAGTATAGCGTTCTTAATATTATTTTTTAGATAATCACAAATATCTAGAAGCTCGTAAGACCCTTCAGGAATTTCGATCATTTCTTTTTCACCATAATAAAATTTATTGTTTCTTTCATCTATAGGGAATAGAATTGAAAGTTGAAAAATACAAAAGATCACATTCGTAGTCTCCTCGTAGTTTTATTGTCGGTGAATAGTTCGTTGATAAAGAGGCTCCTGTCCCAGTTATAGACACAGTGAAAGACATTTTTATACTGATACGTTTATTTATTTCATACACTATATAAATGCTTTTTCCAGTAATTCCTTAAAAATTTTAGACAAAGATGTCCACAGTTTGTAGCACCAAACGCTTGATGTCGTGCATAATTATAGTTAATAGATAAGTTATGCATATATTTAACTAATTCTAACGGGGGCTTTAAATTACCAAAATTATCATAATATTCTACGTATTTATTGTGCTTTACAAAAGCTACCCAATGCGTTCCAGGATTTCTGTAGCTATCCAAATTCAGTATTCCACATTCTATCTTTTTCCGCGAAAGTATGGAATGTCACTTGCATGTTCTAATATGTCGAGATTAGTGAGTGCCCGTCTGGATAGCCGTTTAATTAGTTTTTTGAGGGGTTAAGATATAAACCTGCTCCTTGTTTATGAGGTTTAATATATAATTCTTTTCCTAGAGCAACGGCTTCCATCATTCTGTTGTGTCTTTCAGATTCCTGAAGACTCTTTTGTGCTGCTTTTGAATCATTAACAGCTTTTGCTATACCCGCTGCTCCACCGGCTAATGATCCTAAAGCTGACAATCCTGCAAATATGGGAATAAGTGGTAAAAATCCTCCACACTTTGGAAGAGGAATACAACAGGGTAAACTTATTCTTTTTTTATTACTATATATTTTCTTTGCAGCTGCATAGGCATATTTTATAACCGAGTGACTGTCTTTGGATTTTAGTTTTTTAACTGAGACTGTATTTTTTTAACCCCTTCTTAAATGCTTTTATACCGTTCCCCGCCCACGTTTTCGCTTTCATCGCATTTTTGACTATCCATGAGGCAATTTTTTCTTCTTTCCTAGTATCTTCTGATTTCAAACTCCACCTTCAAAATTGCTAAGTCCGCTTTTTGTCGAACGCCTGAATCTTTGTTAGTGTAAGCAATATCATGGAGCATGCACGCTTCATCCAATTTGTTTATCCCACGATCGCCTTTGAGTAACCGTTTTTGAAGTTTAGTTCCGTGTCCGCAAAATTGATAGCCGGGTAAATGTAACTCAAACGGTAAATTGTCTATTACTTTATTAATTATACCACTGCCTTTCTTCATCGATAAGTATAAAATGACATTATTAAGTAATAATACGTTATTTATATACCTAAACCACTAATTCACTTTTATCCACCCAACTATTTTCTTCATCACTCAAACCTAACCATTTTACTAAAAGCTTATATCCTTTTCTTTTAATGACTTTTTCAATAAGATAAAGGTCTAGAAATTAAGTTTTTTGTAATTCGTAACCGTAAAAATAGCCTAGAATTTTTTGATTGTGTTTGTCTTCTATTTGATAGGATTTTATTACTATACTAATCATTCGAGCTTCTAGATATTTGTGATTATCTAAAAAATAATATTAAGAACGCTATACTAAAACTAACTTGTAACAATAATACATTGAAAACAAATAGTTTTTGCTCTGAAGATGTGCACTGTAAAGAAGTGAATCACTGGGTAAAATTTTAGGCTTTAGTATGAAAACAATAAAAGCAAATATAAGTACTGAATCGTAAAAGTAAGTAGAAAAGTAGTTAGTGGTTCATTTGTCAACGGGAAAGCAAGCCATAAAATTTTTGAATTTGCACCTAATGTACCACCTGGTTATCGAATAATTGAAATACCCAGAAACTTGATTTATTTTCCTATTAACCAAAGTTCCATAAGTGCTATCAATATAAAGTTATTGAACACTGAGAACAAAGAGATAAATTTACGAGGTGAAGAAGTACAATTGTATTTACATTTCCGAAAAAAAAATATGATAAATTTCAATAAAAGCCCGTCTACTTCGTATATCCAAGCCAGTTTTAAAAGAACATCTCATAAAGGCACACCTCTTCAGCTAAAAAAGAAGCTTACCAAGTCTAACAAAGAATTTCTTAAGCTAGTTGGCTTGATAAAATGAATATTTTAAACGTATCTCAACAAACATCATACGATAACAGCATTGAAAGTTTTGAGTATCATTCATACAAACTGTATGTAACTAGTTTTAACAAGAATGACGAAATACGTATTCCTATTAATCAACAAGATCTGTACGTACTACCTTCACTCAGTAGTTTATATGTCGAGGGAAAGGTGAACGTTTATAACAGCACCACAAAAGAAAAGGTATCAAATGTACATTTTGTCAATAATCCCGTGCTATTTCTTTTTCAAGACATACGATATGAACTTAATGGAGTAGAAATAGATAAAATTAAAAATGCTGGTGTCACTACTACAATAAAATCTTATCTATCCTTAAATGAAAATGAATCCAAATGTGCTTGAGTTTGGGGCTGGTCAACTGGCGGAACAAGCAATACTAGTGGTGGAGCGTTTTCCGCATCTATACCATTGAACAAGATATTCGGATTTGCAGAAGATTATGAAAAAATTATAATTAATTTTAAACATGAGTTAGTATATTCTTATTTTTAGGATTGGTTTGGTTGACTTTAAAGATAAGAAATATTTCTGTAGACCAATTAGGGGCATAACCTTTGTAAAAATCTCCTTTGTATTTGTTTATCGACGAACGTAATCGCCAGCGTGAAACGCCGGTCCTTGACGTATCTTAGGCTTTTGAGACTTCTTGATGTTTGACATAACTAAAATCGCATTTGAATCATTAACGTTGATAGGCTTGAATTTTGTAATGCGATGTAAAGTATTATTAAACCGCTTTACAACAAAATCTAAATTATTTTTCAACCATTGATATCGACCGCATAGATTGAATATTTTGTAAAGGTGAGTTTTTAAAGTTCTTATTACTCGTTCTACAATGGAGGCCTTTTTAACGGAGTACGTGGAATAATGATTTATATTATAATTTTTCATTAAATTCTTAAAAGAATCATTATAAAGATCTGTACCAAGATCTGTTTGTAAATTTTTAGGTTTTCGTCTTGATTCGGATAATAAACTTTGCATCGCATTTTTGACACAATTTTTATGTTTCGTTTTCAATGGTCTAACCCATACGTATTTTGATAGAGCATCGATTTTTTTTTATAGAAAAGGGGGCAAACGAGCATGCTGCTCACCTGATGGTAAGTGACTACCGCCGCCCATGAACAACCACAACACCAGGGGAATTGCAGATGCGTTGCCGGCCTTTTAGAAAGGTGTAAGCTCTTTTCTTGAAGGTTCCTAAGTCGTATCGGTCCGGAAAATTCGCTGGTGGTAATTGATTCCACAAGGAAGTTGTGCGAGGGAGAAAACTTCTTCTAAATCGCACAGTGGTGGACCGCCAATCATCCAGATGGTATGGATGATAACGCGAGTTTTGTCGCGATGTGCGATGGTCAAATTGAGCGGCTGGAGTTAGTCCGAACAATTCGTCAGAGCACTCCCCGTGATAGATGCGATAGAATACGCAAAGAGATGCAACATCTCTACGCAGTGCCAGTGTATCGAGCCGATCAGAAAGAACTCGGTCGTCGACGATTCGAACCACTCTGCGCTGGATGCGGTCAAGTGAAAGGAGCTGGCACTGGGGTGCCCCGGCCCAGAGATGAGAACAGTATTCCATGTGGGACCGAACTTGCGCTTTGTAAAGTTGCAAGCGATGTGCCGGCATGAAATACTGTCTCGCTCTGCTGAGCACGCCAAGCTTTTTAGAAGCTAATTTGTCCTTCCCTTCCAAGTGACCACGAAACTGCACACTATTCGATATGTCGACGCTAAGGATTCCGATACTAGCTGAGGCAGCAAGAGGAGTGCCTTGAAACTGAGGAGATACGACAAAGGGGTTCTTTTTAGCGGTAAACGCGCAAACTTGTGTCTTCTGGGGATTGAACTGGACTAGATTTTCTCGGCCCCAATCCGAGACTTTGTTAAGCAAAGACTCGACTTCAGACACAAGTTTGTCCCGGTACTCAGCGACGTTTTCCCGAGAAATATTGGCACGGCCGGTATATAATGCATCACCAGTGCTGTCGTCTGCATAGCAATGAATGCTACCAGTTAGCAACATATCATTGATATGCAGGAGAAACAGCGTTGGTGATAGCACGCAACCTTGTGGAACACCAGCGTTGATAGGCTTGAAATCAGAGCATGCACCGTCTACAACGACTTTGATGCTCCGATCAGCAAGGAAACTGGTGATCCATTTGCACAATTTCTCGGGAAGCCCATAGGAAAGAAGCTTCGAAAGAAGCGCCTTGTGCCAGACCCGATCGAAGGCCTTCGCTATGTCCAAACTAACGGCCAATGCCTCCCTCTTGGACTCTACTGCCTCCGCCCATCTATAAGTCAGATAGACTAGAAGATCACCAGCTGATCGACCTCGATGAAAACCGTACTGGCGGTCACTAATCAGCTGGTGATCCTCAAGGTACCTCATGAGCTGGCAGTTTATAATGGATTCCATTATTTTGGAGAACAAGGAGGTGATGGCAATAGGCCTGTAGTTGGACGGATCTGAGCGGTCGCCTTTTTTAGGGATCGGGTGGACCAAAGCTGTCTTCTATGAATTCGGGACTACGCATTGGGAGTAGGAGTACCGGAAAAAACGCGTTAAAACCGGTGCCAACTCCGGAGCACACGTCTTCAGCACAATGGGAGGGACTCCATCGGACTCACTCGACTTGCTGACGTCCAGGGAGAAGAGTGCTTTGCGAACCGAGCGCTATGTAAACCGCACATCCGGCATGAAGCACTCACAACGCGGGATGGTCGGTGGTGTGTTCCCGCTGTCATCTAGAGTCGTGTTGAACGCAAAGAGAGAGCTCAACAGATCGGCTTACTCCTTTGCGGCATGGGCCAGTGAGTCGTCCTCTCTGTGCAGATATGGAAGAGATAGCTGACAGAAGTTCCCTTGGACAGCCTTGGCGAGAGACCAGAATGCACGGGTTCCCGAAGGAAGGCGAACTAGCTTCTCGCCAATTCTGTCGATGTGCTCAGACCTTGCCTTGGCAATGACGCTTTTGAAGGATCTGGAGGCGGAATTATACTTCTTTTTAAGTGCGCTGGTGTTTACATCCCGAGACGTTGATGCGTAAGCCCAGGCCCGGTAGCACTCCTGCTTATAGCGTGATGCTATTTTACAGGAGCGACCAAACCATCGCTGGGATCTGCCTCCGATGGGCACCACAGAGGATGGAATAAAAAGTTCCATACCCTGAAGTACCACATCAGCAACAGAATCGGCAACAACGCTGGGATCTTCCGGCGAGAAGCAAACCCGCCCCCAAGAGGATGAAAAAAAAGACCGCATCCCGTCCCAATCAGTTGACCTATAGTGCCAAACACGGCGGCAAGCTGCAGATCGCAACTGCGATTGAAGCGTGAGTGGCACCGTACTTCGGATTAGACAATGGTCCGAAGAGCCCAGAGGGGCATCGACGGAGACCTGATATCCGTCCGGATGAGAGGTCAGCAGAAGGTCCAACAGGGAAGGTACATGGTCTTCCACAACTGGGATCCGCGTAGGCGAAGTAACCACTTATGTTAGACCATATGCCAAAGCAAAGTCATAGACAGATCTACCCACATGATCGGTTAAACGAGAACCAAGCCATTCAGCGTGGTGGGCGTTAAAATCACCGAGTATCACGATCTCTGCGGATGGGACCTATTGTAGCACGGAGTCTGCAGCCATTTGAACGTGGTCGATGAGTCGGTCTGTGTCGGCATTACCGCTATGGGACCTATAGAGGCACCCGTAGACGCGGGGATGGTCGTCACTGTCTATGCGCAGCCATAGGATGGACAGGTCCGTACCTTCAAGACTGCCGAGGCGTCGAAAACAGATGTCCTCTCTGACGTATACGCAAACTCCAGCCCGGGGCACAAAGGAGTGTTCCAATTTGTACCCCGGGTAGGAGAGATATGAAGTATCAGCCGGAGAGGACACCTGAGTCTCGGTTAAAGCAGAGCAAGGCCGGCTTCGCCGTCTCTAGATGGTAATGGACAGCGTTAAGGTTGGAATGAAGTCCCCTGATGTTGCAAAAATTCACGCATAGCGTGACAGAGGTCGCCTTGGTTGTATTGCTCCGCTTGCCCCGAGCAGCATTAGTCGTGAGCGGAATTTTGCCCTCCCCCCAGAATACGCG